ACATTTCACAAGGAAATTTCTGCTTGTGGTATGTGTATGCAGAAGCAGATGGGATCAGACAGTGCTGAACAACTTTTCATACGCTTTTTAAATTCAAAGAATTTGAAAAAATCTAATGGGTTCATGAGGTGGGAGGGAAGGGATGAAACAGAAATAGTAGCTTGGAGGGGTTTATATATAAATGTATGCAAGTACTGCTGAGGGATTGAGATGTGGGTGAATGTGCGGAAAACAAGAGAGATCCGACATGTGCTTAAAATTAGTGGGATCTCCATGTCAGAACAATCAAGTGATGGCCCACTCTGGCTGCTGGTGTTCCTGTGCCTGTTCCCTGATAGGGCTGTCCATGCAGCAGCTCCCTGGAGAGTCTAGGGAGATGGCTGTAACTGTGGAGGACGGAGGTGCCTGCGACAGACAGGGGGCACCCAGGGACCAAGGTGCTCACACTGATTTGGACAAGTGAGGGGGAAGAGGATGGAGGAATACTGAGTGTCAGACCAGACAGGAAGGTTCCATGTGAATGCTGATGGCCAGAAAACTTTTTTTTTTAAATTTCTGCATGTCTTCAGTGTAGAAGGTCTATGTTCCTTTTAGTTTTATCTTAATGGCTAGGCTCTTAGTCCATTAAAAAATGGACTCATGGCCTGGGGTTATAAAGCAGAAAGAGCTAGAGAACCTCATGTTTGTTTACGGCACAAATGGGTGCCTCCTGCCACTATTGGTGTGTGTTAGTTTCTCAGGGCCCTTTGAGGCAACTTGGCTCATCTTAAAGCTCCTGGAAACTTACAGAGCCAAATGCTGTTTCCCTCACGCATGGCCTGATACCCATCCAAGATGCCCCAGATATCACTTAGGAAGGTTCACACTTAGGTTCTTGTCATTCTCTGAATAGTCACGCCGAGAACATAGCCAAGAGATGGACAACAGGTACCTTCAGCTGGGAGGTGCCTGGGCAAGCCTGCAGGTTCCTAGAAGATAAAGGTGGGCTCTTTCTCTGTGCTCTGTGACAAGCTTAACCCTAATTCAAGCTGGTCCTGGTAAGCAGCGTCAGTTCGTATGTAAACGGTTCCTCTTGTGTTTCTGGTCTCCCAAGGGGGTAAGTATTCCTGGAACGCTTTTAAACATAGGCCAGCTAGCCTCTTGCCAACAACCTCTCCATGTGAGAGCAACACAGTCTGCTTGCATCTGACAACAGAAAATGTCTTTTGCATTTACAACAATGAAGTATCTTTGTGTGTGTATCTTTACAATGTCCGTCTGTTCTCTGTATTTGCTGCCCTTCGGGAATTCCTCTGACTCCACGGCTTCTTTCCTTCTCTCCCAGCCCACTGGATGTAACAGGGAGACCTTTTATACTCTGGGACGGGCTGGGAGCCTCTCACGGACCAGTTGCCAGGTCATGCTTGGAAGTTAGATGGAGGATACGGAAGGAAGCAGCGGGCCTGCCTCTGGGACTGAAAGAACCAGATGGGAAACGCCTGGGGAGTTCATGGACGGGCCTGGCTGTGCGCATCGGGACACCGCCAGCTTTGCCCGGGATTGACTGTCAGCCACAAGAGCAGATCCCCGCCCTCGCCTCACGTTCTTCACCCGAACCAGCGACGGCGGGACGGGAACAGGCTCACCCCTCCCGGGGTGGCTTCTCCGCGTCTCACGGGGCGGCACGCGGGGCCGCGTCCC